AGCGGACGTTCTCCGGGATTGTTCACTTCTCCGAACCCTTCACTGAATCACCACATAAAACCTCCACACATCGAGGAGCGGCGTCCATCTTAAGTGATTTCACCTGCAATGGGTTGACACCAGAGGTGTCCTGATACCATTTTTTTCTAGACCAAGTACTTTCCCCTCAGATACTCGCCGATACCAATTACCGATACTTATTCTTAAAGAGACAATTTTTTTCTAAAACAATACAGACTGATGATTTTAGGGCAGTTTCTGACCAGGGCCGAGTGCAGGCGTCACCAGGGCCGAGTGCAGGCGTCACCAGGGCCGAGTGCAGGCGTCACCAGGGACCAGTGCAGGCGTCACCAGGGACCAGTGCAGGCGTCACCAGGGACCAGTGCAGGCGTCACCAGGGACCAGTGCAGGCGTCGCCAGGGACCAGTGCAGGCGTCGCCAGGGACCAGTGCAGGCGTCGCCAGGGACCAGTGCAGGCGTCACCAGGGACCAGTGCAGGCGTCACCAGGGACCAGTGCAGGCGTCGCCAGGGACCAGTGCAGGCGTCGCCAGGGACCAGTGCAGGCGTCACCAGGGACCAGTGCAGGCGTCACCAGGGACCAGTGCAGGCGTCACCAGGGACCAGTTCAGGCGTCACCAGGGACCAGTTCAGGCGTCACCAGGGACCAGTTCAGGCGTCACCAGGGACCAGTGCAGGCGTCACCAGGGACCAGTGCAGGCGTCACCAGGGACCAGTGCAGGCGTCACCAGGGCTACATGCGAGTCTCTCCAGGCAGGTGCGTTAGTAAATTCTAGAAGACGAAGAGCCGCCCCAGGATGGCAGAGGAGCCAATTCTCCCCTCAGGATGAGACAAACATCACAGAACACAAGGCTGGCAAATGACAATCTGAGGACACCGAGGTGACATTCCAAAGATGTGGAAGAACATGGCCGACATGATCACAGTATGATGTCTGGAGCCGAAATATCCCCGAGATTACCTTCATTTCGGGGCGATGGACCCATTCAGTGCAGCAACATCTACTTTCAGCTCTACAGAAGAGGACCAGCTCAGAGATTGACTCTGCAACCATGTGATCCAAGGTCAACATTGAAGATGACTTGAGGGGTCAAAACAGATTCACTGTATCCGGTCTATAAATGGCGGCTCTGGATGGACAGTTGGATAAATGGCTCTATATTTAGGATGTATCCGGTCTATAAATGGCGGGTCTGGATGGACAGTTGGATAAATGGCTCTATATTTAGGATGTATCCGGTCTATAAATGGCGGGTCTGGATGGACAGTTGGATAAATGGCTCTATATTTAGGATGTATCCGGTCTATAAATGGCGGGTCTGGATGGACAGTTGGATAAATGGCTCTATATTTAGGATGTATCCGGTCTATAAATGGCGGGTCTGGATGGACAGTTGGATAAATGGCTCTATATTTAGGATGTATCCGGTCTATAAATGGCGGGTCTGGATGGACAGTTGGATAAATGGCTCTATATTTAGGATGTATCCGGTCTATAAATGGCGGGTCTGGATGGACAGTTGGATAAATGGCTCTATATTTAGGATGTATCCGGTCTATAAATGGCGGGTCTGGATGGACAGTTGGATAAATGGCTCTATATTTAGGATGTATCCGGTCTATAAATGGCGGGTCTGGATGGACAGTTGGATAAATGGCTCTATATTTAGGATGTATCCGGTCTATAAATGGCGGGTCTGGATGGACAGTTGGATAAATGGCTCTATATTTAGGATGTATCCGGTCTATAAATGGCGGGTCTGGATGGACAGTTGGATAAATGGCTCTATATTTAGGATGTATCCGGTCTATAAATGGCGGGTCTGGATGGACAGTTGGATAAATGGCTCTATATTTAGGATGTATCCGGTCTATAAATGGCGGGTCTGGATGGACAGTTGGATAAATGGCTCTATATTTAGGATGTATCCGGTCTATAAATGGCGGGTCTGGATGGACAGTTGGATAAATGGCTCTATATTTAGGATGTATCCGGTCTATAAATGGCGGGTCTGGATGGACAGTTGGATAAATGGCTCTATATTTAGGATGTATCCGGTCTATAAATGGCGGGTCTGGATGGACAGTTGGATAAATGGCTCTATATTTAGGATGTATCCGGTCTATAAATGGCGGGTCTGGATGGACAGTTGGATAAATGGCTCTATATTTAGGATGTATGAGGCATTTGCTGGCTCCACACACTGTAAACCCTTTTTGCAGTGGCGGTAGAAGTAGAAGGTGCCGATATCTCATCTGGTGAAGGTTTTGCTCAGTTTCCTGTCCAATGAGCAGAAGAATAACAGAGAGATGGTGTCACCATTGGGTAGATATACCAGTTTCACTTGGTTTAGAATTTCTCTGACATCATGGCTAAACCCCACCCACTTCTATCCTCGTGTCCAATGAGAGAGCAGCTCGATGGTCTACCAAGTCATTTTTACATCAGGTTGGATGAAGCCAGGGGATGTCCAAACTGCAGCCCTCTTGTGGTGGAACTACGAATCCCATGAGGCTTTGCAAGATTCTCACAGCCACGACTCCCAGAGAGAGATGCTTCATGGGATTTGTAGTTTCTGCCCCCAAAGCTGGAGGGCCGGAGTTTGGCCATCCCTGGCTGAAGGGAATGCTTACAGACCACACCATACACAGGTCTATATGTTCATCTATAGCAGGGGTAGCCAAACTCCAGGCCCCTCCAGCTGTGGTGGAACTGCAAATCCCATGAGGCATTGCAACATTCTCACAGACATGACTCCCGGAGAGAGATGCATCATGGGATTTGTAGTTTCACCACAGCTGGAGGGCCGGAGTTTGGCTACCCCTGATCTATAGCATCCTCCTCAGCCACGGTTTCTCTACCAAGTTTTTGCCTCTTAATTTCTTGGTTCTACTTCCTGTTCCATAGGGTGTGGCTCTAGCCCAGTGGTTCTCAACCTTTCTAGGGCCAGGAGCCTTTGGTAACATTTGCCAAGTTGTGGTGACCCCCCAAAAGGTAACATTTAGGGATGACGAGGCAGCTGCTGCAGCGACATTTGGTGGGAGAACCAACACCGATGCGCTAGGAGAGGGCTGAGGAGGACTGTCACCTAGCACAGCAGAAATCACACAGCGACCCCGCAGCTTGAGAACCGCTGGCAGAATTTAAAAAACAAAAACAAAAAAAAACACCATAGGAATGAATAGCTAGATTCCTATTGGCTATTTCACTTTGCAATAGCCAATAAGCTATTGCACCCGCCCTCTGCTGCTGTCAATCGCTAGAAGAGGACCTGATTGAGAACTGCAGGTCCCCCTCTGCTGATTGGCAGCAGAGGGCGGGTGCAATAGCTTATTGGCTATTGCAAAGTGAAATAGCCAATAGGAATCTAGCTATTCATTCCTATGGTGTTTTTTTTTTTTTCTGACTTAAGGCGGCTCCGATGTCAGGAAAAAAAAAAATTGCAGGGGAAAAGGTTTACTCTGATCGATCGAGCAGAGTAAACCTTTCCGGGAGCAAGCGTTTCTCTCCCGGTGAACCCAGCCTAATAGCGG